CAACAACTAGCCTCCCTTATCATCCCAGAAAACACAATAACAACAACTAGCCTCCCTTATCATACAAGAAAACACACTAACAACAACTAGCCTCCCTTATCATCCCAGAAAACACAATAACAACAACTAGCCTCCCTTATCATACAAGAAAACACACTAACAACAACTAGCCTCCCTTATCATCCCAGAAAACACAATAACAACAACTAGCCTCCCTTATCATACAAGAAAACACACTAACAACAACTAGCCTCCCTTATCATCCCAGAAAACACAAATAACAACAACTAGCCTCCCTTATCATACAAGAAAACACAATAACAACAACTAGCCTCCCTTATCATCCCAGAAAACACAATAACAACAACTAGCCTCCCTTATCATCCCAGAAAACACAATAACAACAACTAGCCTCCCTTATCATACAAGAAAACACAATAACAACAACTAGCCTCCCTTATCATCCCAGAAAACACAATAACAACAACTAGCCTCCCTTATCATACAAGAAAACACACTAACAACAACTAGCCTCCCTTATCATCCCAGAAAACACAATAACAACAACTAGCCTCCCTTATCATACAAGAAAACACAATAACAACAACTAGCCTCCCTTATCATCCCAGAAAACACAATAACAACAACTAGCCTCCCTTATCATCCCAGAAAACACAATAACAACAACTAGCCTCCCTTATCATCCCAGAAAACACAATAACAACAACTAGCCTCCCTTATCATCCCAGAAAACACAATAACAACAACTAGCCTCCCTTATCATACAAGAAAACACACTAACAACAACTAGCCTCCCTTATCATACAAGAAAACACAATAACAACAACTAGCCTCCCTTATCATACAAGAAAACACAATAACAACTAGCCTCCCTTATCATCCCAGAAAAACACATTTACAACTAGCCTACCTAATCATACCAGAAAACACAATAACAACAACTAGCCTCCCTTATCATACAAGAAAACACAATAACAACAACTAGCCTCCCTTATCATCCCAGAAAACACAATAACAACAACTAGCCTCCCTTATCATACAAGAAAACACAATAACAACAACTAGCCTCCCTTATCATCCCAGAAAACACAATAACAACAACTAGCCTCCCTTATCATACAAGAAAACACACTAACAACAACTAGCCTCCCTTATCATACAAGAAAACACAATAACAACAACTAGCCTCCCTTATCATCCCAGAAAACACAATAACAACAACTAGCCTCCCTTATCATACAAGAAAACACAATAACAACAACTAGCCTCCCTTATCATCCCAGAAAACACAATAACAACAACTAGCCTCCCTTATCATACAAGAAAACACACTAACAACAACTAGCCTCCCTTATCATCCCAGAAAACACAATAACAACAACTAGCCTCCCTTATCATACAAGAAAACACAATAACAACAACTAGCCTCCCTTATCATACAAGAAAACACAATAACAACTAGCCTCCCTTATCATCCCAGAAAAACACACTAACAACAACTAGCCTCCCTTATCATCCCAGAAAAACACATTTACAACTAGCCTACCTAATCATACCAGAAAACACACTAACAACAACTAGCCTCCCTTATCATACAAGAAAACACAATAACAACAACTAGCCTCCCTTATCATCCCAGAAAACACACTAACAACAACTAGCCTCCCTTATCATACAAGAAAACACAATAACAACAACTAGCCTCCCTTATCATCCCAGAAAACACAATAACAACAACTAGCCTCCCTTATCATACAAGAAAACACACTAACAACAACTAGCCTCCCTTATCATACAAGAAAACACAATAACAACAACTAGCCTCCCTTATCATCCCAGAAAACACAATAACAACAACTAGCCTCCCTTATCATACAAGAAAACACACTAACAACAACTAGCCTCCCTTATCATCCCAGAAAACACACTAACAACATCTAGCCTCCCTTATCATACAAGAAAACACAATAACAACAACTAGCCTCCCTTATCATACAAGAAAACACAATAACAACAACTAGCCTCCCTTATCATACAAGAAAACACAATAACAACAACTAGCCTCCCTTATCATACAAGAAAACACAATAACAACAACTAGCCTCCCTTATCATACAAGAAAACACAATAACAACAACTAGCCTCCCTTATCATACAAGAAAACACACTAACAACTAGCCTCCCTTATCATCCCAGAAAACACAATAACAACAACTAGCCTCCCTTATCATCCCAGAAAACACAATAACAACTAGCCTCCCTTATCATCCCAGAAAACACAATAACAACAACTAGCCTCCCTTATCATCCCAGAAAACACAATAACAACAACTAGCCTCCCTTATCATACAAGAAAACACAATAACAACAACTAGCCTCCCTTATCATCCCAGAAAACACAATAACAACAACTAGCCTCCCTTATCATACAAGAAAACACAATAACAACAACTAGCCTCCCTTATCATCCCAGAAAACACAATAACAACAACTAGCCTCCCTTATCATACAAGAAAACACAATAACAACAACTAGCCTCCCTTATCATCCCAGAAAACACAAATAACAACAACTAGCCTCCCTTATCATACAAGAAAACACAATAACAACAACTAGCCTCCCTTATCATACAAGAAAACACAATAACAACAACTAGCCTCCCTTATCATACAAGAAAACACAATAACAACTAGCCTCCCTTATCATCCCAGAAAACACACTAACAACATCTAGCCTCCCTTATCATACAAGAAAACACAATAACAACAACTAGCCTCCCTTATCATACAAGAAAACACAATAACAACAACTAGCCTCCCTTATCATACAAGAAAACACAATAACAACAACTAGCCTCCCTTATCATACAAGAAAACACACTAACAACAACTAGCCTCCCTTATCATACAAGAAAACACAATAACAACAACTAGCCTCCCTTATCATCCCAGAAAACACAATAACAACAACTAGCCTCCCTTATCATACAAGAAAACACAATAACAACAACTAGCCTCCCTTATCATACAAGAAAACACAATAACAACAACTAGCCTCCCTTATCATACAAGAAAACACAATAACAACAACTAGCCTCCCTTATCATACAAGAAAACACAATAACAACAACTAGCCTCCCTTATCATACAAGAAAACACAATAACAACTAGCCTCCCTTATCATCCCAGAAAACACAATAACAACAACTAGCCTCCCTTATCATACAAGAAAACACAATAACAACTAGCCTCCCTTATCATCCCAGAAAAACACATTTACAACTAGCCTACCTAATCATACCAGAAAAAAACACAACAACCACCCTTACCATAAGAGAAAACTTTGTCTCAAGTTGCATCAACATGAAACAAAAAATATCCCATTTGGGCCTAAATCTTGGAGGTTCTGGACTAGTTTTAATCTTTCCTGATCAAGCCCTGCAGTTTTAAACCAGTTCTATATTTCCTAAATCTCTGCTTCAATCTGGAACTAAGTCAATCAGGAGTAAGAGTTACATGTTATGACAAAAAATGACTTAATAGGCTTGTAAGTGAAAGTTGACAATCTCACTGCAAACCTCTCTGAGGAGTTCAGGGTCTGCGTGGAGTGTAAGGTGTATCAGTACACTCCTTCCATTAGATGTGGAGATATACACTCTCAACTCTCACAAGACACGTACATGCTGCAGCCTCACTGTCAGACTGGGAGGACAGCACTCACACAATTATTGACGGCACAGATTTCTTATCATGTTGCTTTTTATTATTATAATAATAACCTAAATAATAAGAAGAGGAAGAAGAAGAAGAAGAAAAGAAGAGTGAGTGAGTTGAGTGAGTGAGTATGTTTTTACATCGCTTTTAGCAATATTCCAGCAATATCACGGCGGGGGACACCAGAAATGGGCTTCACACATTGTACCCATGCCGGGAATCGACCCAGGTCTTCGGCATGACGAGCAAACACTTTAACCACTAGGCTACCTGGCCGAAGATGAAGAAGAAGAAGAAGAAGAAAATGATGATGATGATGATGATGATGATGATGATGATGATGATGATGACCAAAATTTCAATTCATAACCAAAACTTTCTAAACCTGAGCTTATTATTTCACAGAGTACATTTTTCCCTCTAATCATGTTGGACAAAGCAGAGGCAAGTTTTTCAGGATAACTCATACAGCTTCTTTGGCAGCACCAACACAGAAATAAGCTGCACTCTGCAAAGCACCAATACCGCACGACTTATCAATGTTGCGTTAAAATAGCAAAAAGTAGTATAAAATAACTGTAAAGTGGTTGGTATTTCTGTGAAGCCTAATTCCTAATGCTGGAACATATAAACATTATCAACTGTTGATCTTAAAACATAAATTTCATTATTTTTCCTTTTCGAAACAAACTTTGGACCTTTTTAGACTTGGCTTCTGAGGAGTGAAACCAAATTCAATCAAGTTTGAAAGTTGTTAAAAATTCCACAAGCATGTTTGCAGGGTTTTCCTACATGCGATTACCTCATCTTAATTGGCTGAGATGAGCGAGAGACTTCGGCACGGATGATAATTTACTTGATAAACTTCCTCTGATTAACTTGTCTGCTTGACAGTACACAATCAGACTGCAGCACATTTTCATCAAGGAAATATGTGAAACACTCTGAACAGATCCATCAGGTTAATGAATGTAACAAAATCCATCCCCACAAAAACAAATTAAAAGAATCCTCCAAAGTCACAAAAAACAATTCTTTAGATGTTACTTACTCAAATTTTCAATGAGCTCCATTAATCAAGCATATTCTTATAAAAATCTGTTATATCAGACAACCCTCCCTCTGGCGTAGTCAAAAATAAATGCCCCATATAACATGTTAAAAAAAGAAATATCCGTCCCTTGTGATCACGACAAAAGAAGCAAGCATTGAAAAAAAACCTAATGAGTTCACGGCAATGACATGCATGGTGCGTGGTAGCCTTACCTTCTGAAACCCATCACACCTGCCCGCAATGTACAAGCGCTATGGACGAGAGCAATAGACAAGTGCTATAGACGTGGGACGTCTTATTGACAGAAACAACTGTCAGTGCTGGCAGTCGGAGAATACCTGCTGGCGGAATGCTGTTCAAGTGTAGCAGCGATGTACCATAGTACCTCTTGTAGACAAGTAACCTACACCGCTTTGTTTTGTCACAGACATTCCTTTTATGCCCTAATGAGCAAACAGACTTCCCTTAATGAAAATACTGCTTGTCAGACACGACGGAACAAGGGAAACGTCCAAATTGTCTGAATCGGACAATGAATATTTACAGAAATACGTTTAAGTAGTTTTAATGATGAGATGTTATGATTGAATGGCCAGACCTGTTGTATCAGGCATGGAGAATGAACACATGGTGGCGGTCATAATCAATATAACGTCACATGCATGCATGTCGTAGGCAGGTTTTTCTGACTGTATAAAAATTGTTTGTTGCCTGGAGATCAGGTATCTGTTCTAGTAGCTCGTTAATACTGCTACAGAACCAGAAACACTCTGATAGCTGACATTTTCGAGTTGCCTGTATGAGCTTCCCGAATTGTTCTCCTCTATGTAATTGGCTTCATGTCTCCGGCAAGGCACATACACGAAACCAGAACAGAAAACAAATGACAAGCATTCCTAGTTTAAGGAGGCTTGTCAAATCTTTTAATGGTCGACTTTCAAATTAAAACGTGTTCCACTCTGGGAAAAGTGAGGGAGTGTGTTGGATTAAATGCCGCTTTGAAACAGTATTCCAGTTATATCACAGCATGTCAGCTTAATGTGGGAGGAAAGCCCGAAGTGATGCAGGTCTCAGACGTTTACCACTTTGGTGAAACACACCAGCATGAGTATGGTGCTAAAACATAATCGGGGCAAACCAGGATTTGAACACACTTTCAAATTTCTATCAAAAATATATATTGGTACAGTCAGTCTTTTCACACAGTTTAAAATTATAAGTTGGACAACAACAAACACAACCTGTAATGTCATGAACCTCAAAGTTTTTCATCAACATTGTGACATGTCTATCCATATTTAAAGGTCTCTATTGAGGGTAAAGAAAGGCTTCCAGATCACAAGTATCATGTGATATGGAAAAGTCATAATGTAATTCACTAACATCACAGAACAGATATGAGCAATAACTACTTTGATCTGTTGCTTAGAACATGTCTTGTCACGGAATAGCCATGAATCCGTCGACTGTGAAGGCAGCATGATCTACACCATGGCCAAACTCTGCATGATGGGATTCCTTCATTCCACACAGACAGGCGCCATGACTCTTGCCTACCACACGTATTTTACTGCATTAACAGGATGCCGTGTGTGTGAACCCTATCTATGTAGGCTGGTAATAACTTGGTGCAACAATATAAATCAGTTGCATTGGTTTTTTTTGTCACAGTAATAAACCACTCGGAAAAAGTTAAGGACGAACCGATTCTTTCATATAACTATAGTTAATTTGTCATGCCATGATAGATTAACTCTTGTAATATAAAATAATGTGGTGGTTATTAACTTTTCCGAGTAGTATATTCCGAGGTATATATTACATTCCTCTGACTATAGGATAGGTACTGGGAGATACTTGTCTCTAGAGGTGAGGTGAGGTGAGGTGAGGTGAGGTGAGGTGAGGTGAGGTGAGTGAGGTGAGGTGAAATTGGGTTGAATTTTGCATCTAAGATTATTGCACTTATATAGCGACGTGCATGCACGTGTGTCTGTGTGGCTTCTTGTACTAGTCCGGCTGATGCCGATTTATAGTGCTAGCCCACTGAGATACCATGCCGCAGTTTAACATGAATACCCCACTCAGACACAATATACTGACTTTCAAGCCGACCTGTCCTTGTCTTAGCCCCTTAATGCCGAGCGCCAGACAAGTACCATCTTTTTAACGTCTTTTGGTATGACGCAGCCAGGGATCAAACACCGCTCTCTGGGCGGACATTCTACCACTAGACCACAGAGGCGGTCTTGTGATACAGAGCTTAATGGAGAGTGAGTGAGTAAATACGGTTTAACACTACATTGAACAGTTACGTCACTTGATGTAGGGTGAAAGCTTGAAGTGACGTTGGTTTGAATATTTACGACTTTAGTGGAAACAAGCTGTCTGGAAGAACAGACAACCGTGAGAGTCAAAATGACATCAACAATGATAGACTGTGACATCATTATAATTGTGATGTCATCACACATTAAGTCAACAATGCCATCTGTATGACATCAAAAGTGATGCAGGTCCTTGGATACGGGCTGGTTGGTTGGTTGGTTTCTTGTTTAACGCCGCACTCAGCAATATTCCAGCTATATGACGGCGGTCTGTAAATAATTGAGTCTGGACCAGACAATCCAGTGATTATATATCATGAGCATCGATACACGTAATTGGAATCGATGACATGCATCAACCAAGTCAGCGAGACTGACCACCCGATCCCGTTAGTTCCCTTTTACGACAAGCATAGTCGCCTTTTGCAGCAAGCATGGGTTGCTGAAGACCTGTTCTACCCCGGATCTTCAAGGGTCACTTTGGAAAAGGGACTCAGCTCTACACAGAAACATGGGATGCCTTAGATTCCTGGGGCCCCATTAGCCTAAATTACTTGAGTATCTAGAAAACATCACAAACACCACCAGGACACCTTGATCATTAAGCAAACAGGAATAGCTAGCTGGCTAATTTCCCTCTGCAATTAAAAGGCAAAATAACAACACACACTAATTCCATATCTTTCCATTAGTTGATTAGAAAACCCAAAATGCATTACTGCAGATGAATGACCATCTTTAACAATTTGAAGCAGTTGAGTGATTTATGTATAATCTATGAATACATTAGTCAAGAGAAACGATTGTCGATTACGCAAAGCGCCTAATCAATGCCAACGGAATAGGTTCTCGGTAAAGGTATGCCACTTTTAACATAGAGTTTTGATCTGCATGTTGCAAATAGCTGCACAGAGTCCAGACTCTGGCTTCTGTTCGCTTCTGTGTAAACAGAGATTGAATAGGTAAGTGTGTCGACAAACAACCATAACAATTTCCTGTCTAATGAAGAAATCAATCAAGTGCTCGTTTTGGTTGTTATTGTATGGTAATATTTCACTTAAGAAACCATAATTATTGATTTACATGATCAAAAGATTGATTTCAAATATGCCACCAATACTTGATTCGATTGAATGAGATTAAACAGGTAATTAACAAATGTGTTATATCACAATTCAAAACATCAACGTCAGAGAATAAACAATCAGTCTTGAGTATCTGCCGAAACAGATTTGGGCGTAAAAGGCAAAATAGTGATGAAACTTGCATCAAAGAATCAATGAAAATATGTGACACAAGGTATTTGCAAAAAGGGTAACATGTCCTACTCTACCAGCAGCACCCGCCACTCACACAATCTTCTTTAAAATTAAGTTTTTGTTGCCTATGCCACACCTAGCAATGCTCCTGTCACACGACAGTGGCATGTAGACAATCAAGTCTAGACCAAACAATCCCGTGATCCGTATCAGAAGCAATGATCCATGATGTTGTGGAACGCCGCCACACTGTCCACCAAATCACCGAGGAGGAGTAAGGAGGTATGAAATCTCCCTGTAAAGGTCACGAGTTTCATATAGCATTGCACATCATGTACACAAGCAACGTGTCATATTTAGTAAACTCCTTGGAAAGTCTACCATAAACTTTCTGAAATGACCTAGCGAGGCTTTGATGATGAAATCTGGAATAAAAAGCTCGTCTTTCCATGAAATTTGAATAAAATGTACATGCTGTATGGATTTAGAGAAGGACATACTGGTAACAAAATGTCACAGATCCATATTTCACCAAAACTCTAATATTTCATTATTTGGGCTTGTCAAATGTTCAAAGTCTGCCTGATGGTTTCTTGGACCTATTCTTCAGTGAATTTTTGTAATTCATCAGGGCCCCATTCCTCAAAGCGATCTTAGCACTAAGGTGATCGTAAGTCCCATACTTTAACATAGGGTGACGATCATCGTAGCGCTAAGATCGCTTTGAGGAACACGGCTCTGATGAATTAACTGAAAAAAAACGACAAAACCCATTCCATATTCATCAGAAATCTCTGCCAAAAGCAGAGTCAATTGTATGATTCTGACTAAACGATGAGCATGTGTTTATGCATGACTGTCAGATAGCGATGATACCATGTGTTGGGGAAAAGGTGAGTGCATCCTGCCCCACCGGTGGCAGAAAAAATTGACTGCAGATGCAAAATTAAGAACTAACGGCTAGAAATGAGTGGCCACTTCTCCGATTTAGTTTTCCTTGCTAGTCATAAAATGATTATTTGACCAATTTCCACTGCAATAAGACACATGTTTCCATCAGATGCAAACAAAATGTGATATACTTTGTGCAAACTGCAATCATTCCACACTTCTATTACACACTCACTCAGGACTTGACTCTCACTTCTTGTGAGTTCATTGACCCTTCATAGAGTGAGGGCCAACTTGTATGAGCATCGGAGCTTGAGAAATAGTTTTGTAGTTTGGATGTTATAGTTTGGATGTGCATTTCTTCAACTCCTTCACTAGGATGGGTCATTGAGGATATTCTGACTTATCCCAATGTATGCTAAAACGCTTACTTCCAGATTAACAGGTCCAAATGATCAGAAACGCTTCTGCATTTAAGCATGCTAGGGAATTCCCAAGGGGTTTCCCAAGGAATGTGGAAGAGTTTACATTATTTCAAGAATACAATTTCATGAGAACATTCTGCACATCATAATGTGTCATTCCTGCACTTATGAACATCAGTTTCATGGACATGTGGCCGACCTGTCGTCCAAGGGAAAAGCTGTATAACATGCAAACTTTACATAAAAAAATGTATCCAAAAAACTTTACAAAAACACAAAATCCCAATCATGCACCATGACTTAGTCCACTTACAGGTCAACCTACAGGTCTTGCTCCTTCTTGCCAAATATGTACCATTCAGTGACGACCACCTTTTTCCTCTGTCACTGTGCAGCATTAACCACATACCCCCTGTGGGCCACTGAAAGAAAAGACGAGCAAATGTT